AGTAGCCTCTGCATCAGTGAACCTCAGCATACACAAAGGAACGAGCAAGATCCTGAAATACAATACGAAGAACACCAACCCAATCACACTTGATGGAGAAGCCCTGGAAGATGTGGAATTTTTCACATAGCTATGAAGGATCAGCTACAGATATAAAGGCGAGAATTGGAAAATCAAGGACTGCACTCCTACAATTGAAGAACATATGAAACTCAAAACAACGGTCAACCAATATCTAATTCAGAATCTTCAATACGAACGTCAAGACAGTTATACTGTACGGAGCTGAAACGTGGAGACCACTACGACCATCATCAAAAAAGGTAAAATTATATATAAAAACAAATTTCTAAGCAAGATAGTCAATGTCCGTTGCTGGCCGGAAACCATCAGCAACAGCCTACTGTGGGAGAGGACAAACCAACTCCCAGCTGAAGAGGAAATTGGGAGAAGACAATGGAAGTGGATAGGATACACGTGGAAATCACCGAACTGCAACACGAGGTAAGCGCTAACTTGGAATCCTGAAGGGAAACGAAAAAGAGGGAGGCCGAAGAACACGCCGGGTCGGGAATCAGAAGCAGACATGAAATGGATAAATAGGAACTGGAAATGATCACCTAGGACAGGGTTGGGTGGAGAGTACTGATGAGCGGCCTATGCTCCACGACGAGGGGTAAAAGAAATAAGTGATGTGTAACTATAACAATTACTTCACTAGAATGATCGATCAATATAATATTGTCTGATATATGTACGAATACGATGGAACTACCGATAATTTTAGTTGTTAATCTATGTACTATTATTGTCATTATCACTTTATTTTACCACTTTGCTTTATTAATAATCATCTTATAATATTTCACTATAGATAAATCGGAAGTTGCTTTCTTATCAACAGATGGGATATATTTTAACGAAATAATTGCCAAGAAAACGGGACACATGCATCACTTAAGTTTATTGTTTCTATTATTATTACGAAATTGTACTAAGAAATTCGTGAGCCGTTCTTCTCGTAGGTACACTTACGCGCCTATTAATAATAAGGGGAGATTGTTATACTATGAATACACACAGAGTTAAATTAATTGATGTCAATTAATGGATTCCAGTATAGTGACTAAGTGATAAATTCCCTCATTATGGTCATAATAAAATTGGTTGATTGTTTGTCTTTCAGTAAATGTTAAGCTATAATGTAACACGCACCGGCAAGAATTAAGTCTGAAATATCTTAACTTTATCGCTGGTAACTAAACCGCAAATTTCGTATCACACTTAAATGACTTCTTGGTTTGTTGTTCCATCTTTTGATGACAATTTATTTAGGCACATTGAGCCAATAAGCATGGATATGTAATTAATAGTTAACTGCTCATATTATTCACAGTAATCCGGAGAACCTGTCGACTTAACACTGGATGACTTTAGAATTTTTGAAGATTCGTAATCTGTTGAATTGGAATATTAAATGATTAAATGAAATCGTCCATCATAAGGTTTCCAAGTCCATTAACTTTTTGGATAAGAAGTTTTCTTCAACACTGCAGCATACTTTTTAAATTGGGAGTTGACCTTTCTTTTTTATTCTTTCTAGACTAGCTACTTAATAAGAAAACAATAGTAATCTTACTCTTTGTGAATTTACTATCTTAACGTATTCATTATGGCTTGTTTCGCAAACTTCAAGAGGATCAGTAGGTTAAACATTTAAGGTATCTCTATTATTGTTAAATAGACTACATTGACTCTGGAAGAAGACATAGTATGGATACACCCAGGCCACTGCAAACGATTTTAGGCCGTTTCAGTCAACATCGCTGACCACACACGGAGCAAACTGCATCACAGTAAACTTAACCGTTGATCAAGAGACAGACAGCTCGTTCACTGCACAAATGACGCACGTCAGCGAAAGTCAACCTAGATTTTCAAATGAGACTGTCCTATGCCCCCAAATGATCTGATACAGTCGAAAGTGGGGAGAGTCCGCTCTCCCTCTCGAAATGCTCTCATATGGCCACGCATATATAGCCACTGCCAGGGAAGTCCTACTCACTGCCTTCTCGCGACAGGGGTGTTTTTACGAAATCGAGAGGATGAAAAGCGAATGTCCGGCACTTTAACTAAGTTGGTGGACACGGAGTCCACCTAGGGGAGTTGGAAAACCCTGATTCTAAACCAGTGGTGCACATGGGCTCCATTATCCTGAAGGAACGAATGGCGTATGAACCAATTGTTGGTCACCGATGACCATGGGACTGCATCTCCTTACGATGTTCCACTGCCTTGTTGATTAGACCTTTAGGTCAAAGGCTCCGGGTGTAGCCCTAAGGGTTCACGTCGTTCCTGCAACAACTATCGGGGGATAGGTCTACTTCCGATTGCGTCCAAGCTATTGGCTTCCGTCATACTTCGTAGGTTGTTCAAAACCCGAGAAAGACTGACTCGCGAGGAGCAGGCTGAGTTTCGTTCTGGTCGAGGATGTATTGATCATATCTTCACCCTCCGCCAAATGTTAGAACACCGCCATACTTATCAAAGGCCAGCAATCGTAGTGTTTCTTGACATCAGGGCTGCCTTCGATTCGTTGGACAGGACTGTTCTCTGGGATTGTCTATTGAAGAAGGGTGTGCCTGAGAAGTTTATTAACATTCTAAAAGCCCTATATAAAAACACCTCAGGGAGAGTGAGGGCATACAACCACCTATCTTCATTGTTCCATTCGAGCAGTGGGGTTAGGCAGGGTTGCCCAATCTCATCATTCCTCTTCAACTTTGCCATCGATGACATTCTGGAAACAGCTCTGATGAATGTAAGTAATGGTGGTGTGGATCTGTTGCCTGGAGAAAGACTTCTCAACTTTGAGTATGTAGATTATATTGTCTTACTGTGCGATAATGCCCAAGCCATGCAATCCGCACTTAATCAGTTGGCAATCAGTGTCCGTAGGTATGGTATGTGCTTTGCACCTTCGAAGTGCAAAGTACTTTTACAAGACTGGCAGGATTCCAATCCTGTACTCACCCTGGATGGTGAGCAGATAGAAATAGTCGAGAAGTTCGTGTATCTGGGTAGCTGCATAAGTGCTGGTGAGGGGTGTGAGTGATGAGATCAATGCACGTATAGTGAAAGCCAGAGCGGCTTATGCCAATTTGGGCCATCTTTGGCGTCTTCGTGATGTTAGTCTGGCTGTAAAAGGTCGGATCTACAACGCGTCGGTGAGAGCAGTTTTGCTCTATGCTTGTGAAACCTGGCCTCTCCGAGTTGAGGACGTTAGATGACTTTCTGTGTGTGATCATCGTTGTCTCCGAAGGATTGCTGACATCCAGTGGCAACACCATGTTAGTAATGCAGAGGTTCGGCATCGTGTGTTTGGGCACAGAGATGATAATTCAATTGGTGTCACCATCTTGAAACACCGACTTCGGTGGCTTGGACATGTTCTACGAATGTCGTCCCAGAGAATTCCACGTCGTGCATTATTTGCCGACTCTGGGACTGGTTGGAAAAAGCGGAGAAGTGGTCAGTGCATGACATGGTGTCGTGGTATGAAAGAAAGCTGCAAAGGACTGGCTTCTGTCGGTCCTTCACGACTCCCTGGTTGGGGTCTGAGAGATGGTGCTACACAGTGGCTAGAGACGTTATCAGATATAGCTCAGAATAGAAGCCAGTGGCGATCCTGCTGTAACCTTCTTTTACTTTCTTCATAAAAAGTGGTTGTGTCTCCCTTACCTGAAAGATTTCTTCTGATTGTACCTTTCCGTTCCATCGTTACGACCACAATACCTTACACCAATCTCTTCGTTATCGTTCTCTTTTTCTTTTGCGCTCCTTAGTTTTTTTTCTATCTCTCTTCGAATCTTCATTGTTTTGTGTGGCGCATATATATTGGCGCTCTCTTGTACCAATATTTATGTGTTCAAATAAATAAATAAACTAAGAAAACGACCTGCTTCGGTTTGGGCACCCGGACAGTATCCCAGCCCTCACAAATCAAATGAGATTTGTGTGGCACATATGTATTTGGTGCCCCCTTGTACCTGGGTGTGATTATAGTATGATAGCTACAAAAATACCTTTGACCTAAAGGTCTAATCAACAAGGCAGTGGAACATCGTAAGGAGATGCAGTCCCATGGTCATCGGTGACCAACAATTGGTTCATACGCCATTCGTTCCTTCAGGATAATGGAGCCCATGTGCACCACTGGTTTAGAATCAGGGTTTTCCAACTCCCCTGGGTGGACTCCGTGTCCACCAACTTAGTTAAAGTGCCGGACATTCGCTTTTCATCCTCTCAATTTCGTAAAAAACACCCCTGTCGCGAGAAGGCAGTGAGTAGGACTTCCCTGGCAGTGGCTATATATGCGTGGCCATATGAGAGCATTTCGAGAGGGAGAGCGGACTCTCCCCACTCTCGACTGTACCAGGGCATTTGGGGTCACTCACTTATGAAAAAAGAAGGAATTTTAAATTAATGTGTAGTAGTTTGGATGGAAATTGATACGTACATTCAAATAGCAATCCGCGAATACAACAAAATGCACCTCACGGATTACATTGCTATCAACTTATATTCATCCTACATAAGATTGTATCATAATGGCCAAATTGACGGAATCCACACAGGACACACAAACTCCAACAAAGACTGGAAAAATCTCTTAAATCTTAGTTCAAAGGTGAGATGGAAGCAGAAACTCATGCAAACCCTTCCCATTAAATCTTCCAATATATAATAGGGTAAACTAGAAAGTAAGAACGACTTGAAAAAAAAGTGGATTTACTTTATTCAACCAAGTTATCACTATTGGGTTAATTATAACACAAATCTGAAAATTAGAAACAGTGCATGCACAATAATGTCGCGGTACAACCAAATACAATTCTAAAACGGAGCATAACAATAGAAACAATGATGAAACTTGAAATAAAAGATGTTTAACATACAGAAAACTCTCGAATCAGTGTTACATTAAAAGTTGAGTAGACCTAATACAAAACAGCTCGCCTTGGTGGCATTGGTAATCTTTGATGATAGTTTGTTACAGGCATGGGAAAATGATCAACCTTCTTATCCGAAAATGAGTTGGAGCTAAAATTGCCAGGAGATTTATTTGCAAAAGAAAATGTATTATATGCGTTTTCTTGAAGATTGTAGGAAATAGGCTCGGAAACAGACTCCTTTTTATTCCACTGTTTTCCAAACTCACAGGGAGTCAAATTCATTTCCCTTAAACTTTTACTTGTAGAAACGATCCTAAGAATGGCAATTAATAGTGTAATACAACCAGCAAACACAATAGGGACAGCTGAATATGATATGGACAAATGAGCATACAGTCCATCACTAAGCTGAGTGATACAAACACCTAAAACAATAAGAACGAAACCCAAAAGGACAGTACAAAAGCTTATGACTAAAAGAACTTTCTCAGGAGCACAGACGCTCAGGTAATCGGTTAAACAGGTTCCAGAATTTCCCATTATAGAAACATCTTAGTGAGATCGTTTGAGATCTAGATTAGTAAAAGCAGTAGAGTTACGTGATGTGAATGCAAGAAAACGCTAGTGAACAAAAGTACAAAAATACAGAGACCGTAAATGTATGCACACGACGATGGAGATGAATAATAGCGTCAGGTTCGCCAAACACTAACTACTTTCTGAAATAATCCTTTTGAGACCCATTAATTAAACTTTGAAGCAAACTCTTGGATGTAAAGCTTAGCTTTAAAAACATACGGGATATATATGTTGCTTGAATAAATTATCTTCCTTGTCTGATAAAGAATGATACTGCTAGGTACTTTGTAAACAAAAACAGCACTGTGAGAATGTTCAGACATTTTCTAACATAATAAGGGTGTATTTGAACATCAGTTGGCCCGCAGAGTATAGTGGAATTTGATTTGTTGTCTAGAGAATACAAAGACCAGTTACTAGGCTTTTAATGTTGATAGCCGGTTGAGAGGTTTTTATGTCCATCTAGACATTTAAAATAAAATAAAGTGGAATGTTAACACATACTCGAGATTAAGTTAGTTTAGTCAATGGTTCCATAAAATAGGCCAAAAGCTTATGGAGTCATTGTAATTTTTCAAGATGGTCCGATGTACATATATTCATGACTGCCCATTTACAAAAAAAATGTTATGTGGTCTAAATGTCAAAGAAACACAATTATTATAAAACCACTTACGTACCAAACTTCTCAGCCACCCATAGAAACAATAACAAGCTGACAAAACTGGGAAACGCTAAAGTCTACCTCAATTTTTTCAAGCCGACTTTTGTGTAGTGAAGACACAGAATCTGTTGCAAAGCAACTAATGAGTCAAACATTTACGATTTTTATGTACAGGTTTCATTAAACCCACAGTCGAATTTTATTTTGCTGTACATGTTCACTAAGGATGTCAGCCTGTCTCAAAGCTCATTAAATTTAAAAACGTATTAGTAAATCGTTTCGTGTTACTTTTATGGCTTTTTTCGCACATGGCTGAAATGTTGGTGAAATCTTACCAATATTAACGTCATTAATAATCATTAATAACGACCTCAGACAATATTGTCTGAGGTCCTTTTAGAACATATGTTCGAAAAACACCTGAAATTTTATAAGTCATCGGGATATAATCAGCTACAGTTGGCAACACAAGATAACCATTCTTTAGTGTCTAAAATAATCAAGAGAGTACTTTGGGTTCCTTTTGGCACACGTAAACATGGCGATCTTACATGGTTGGTTATATAATATCAGTTTCAGTTTGGGAAGGACAGGAGGCTCGATGGCCTATGTTAGTCCTGGCAATGGTGGTCTCTCAGTTGATCCAACTTTCTTTTGAAAGAGTCGACGGATGAGGTAGTGAATTCCACTCGTTGATGATTCGATGGGAAAGTCGATAGTCAGCTGACAAGTAATTTGTTCTCGGCTTGTGAAATTTTTTGGAGTGTCCTCGTAAATTCTCTGTTTTGGAAGACAAGAAAAATGAGGGCATGTTAGGTGCAAATTTATCACTAAGCAATTTGTAGACTGTAATCAAGTCGCCTCTAGTTCTGCGATATGACAACGGGAAAAGGTTCAGCTTGGCTAGTCGAGATTCATACGGAAGCTTCGCTATTCCGGGAACCAACTTAGTCGCCGCTCTCTGAACCTTTTCCAGAAGCTCACTGTCTTTTTTTAAGCAGGGGCTAGCCGCTTGTATGCAGTACTCAAGTTTAGGACGTACGAACACTGTATACAAAGTCAAAAGCGTCTTAGCGTCAACATGACTAAAAGCACTACGTATTGACCATAACGTTCTAAAACTTTTGGCGGCTATTGCACGGCAGTGTGCAGAAGTCTTTAAGTCTTGACTAACGATAACTCCTAAGTCATTATATGTCTGGACGACAGGTAGCTCAGTGTTATTCATCGTGTATGTATCTGTGCCTTGATGACCGATATGCATCACAACACACTTGGAAGTATTTATCGGCAACTGCCATGTTTGAGACCATTCAGATAACTTCTTCAGGTCATTTTGAAGTTCTAAGCTATCACTCTTACATCGTATCGTTTTCCATATCTTGACATCGTCAGCATATAGCAAGACCGATGATGACAGGAGACAAGGAAGGTCATTTACATACAAGAGGAATAGCACCGGCCCCAAAACTGTACCCTGGGGCACTCCACTAAGCACAGTTTCCCAGCTAGATAACTTTGAGTTCACTCGAACTCTTTGTTGACGCCCAACTAAGAAGTCTTTTATCCACATCAATAAATTGCCTCCAATCCCGACTTTTCTTAACTTGTATAACAGCCGGTTGTGCGGAACTTTGTCAAAAGCTTTACTGAAATCAATGAAGGCGACGTCTATAGGTAGATTTTGGTCCTTAAGAGCGCACCAGCATTCACGAGCCACTAATAAGTTAGTGAGACAAGAATAACCTATTCTGAAGCCGTGCTGCTTCTCCGAGAGGATCCGGTTTTTATCGAGATAATTAAACAGCTCCTTCCGAATAATCTTTCCTAATATTTTACCAACCACACTAGTTAGGCTAACGGTAGTTCTCAGGTTTGTGTTTCGTACCTGCTTTTAAGACAGGACTTACTATGGCGCTTTTCCAGTCTTTCGGTAAACGACCCTGCGTAACGGATAGGTTAAAGCATTTACTTAAATGGCTTGCAACGAAGTTAGATAATTCCTTCAGTAGCCTCCCAAGCAACACAAAAAGGGGAAATAAAAGGGTAAATTCCTTGGTAGTGAAAGGAGAAATAAAGAGGTAAATGCTTAGGTAGTGAAAGGGGAAATAAAGGAAAAAACGCATCACAATGTCGCCTTCTTCACCTGTCCGGGGGAAATAATGCGGATTTCCCCCTTTTTCGCCTTTTTGTCGACAAATTACCGACTTATCGCCTAAATATCCGTTGAATTGTCGCATTTTCGCCTAAATATCCGCCCAATTTCCGCGGAATTGCCTACTTATGCGCTTAATTGTCTACTTTTCGCCTAAATACACACATTACCTCCTATTTTCTATCCATCGACAGAACCCCAAAGGTCTCCTGCATTCGCCTTTATTTTCAACAACAGACCAAAATATTTCTGCAATGCAGTGGAAAAGCGGTAAATTTTTTAAAAATCTTATTTAAAAAGAAAAGCGTATTAGTGTACAACAGTAGAGCACAAGCTTAAGCATCGATTGTTATGCATATCCAATGCAATTGCTAATTCATTGTTATTTGAAATTATCTGAAAAAGAAGGAACAGGTTATGTTTTATTCATAAGGAATGTGCATTTAATCAAAAGTTCACTGAAACTCAAACACACATTCTCAACACTTCAACAGTTTCCCATGTAAGTAAAAAAGTAAGCTGTTTGAAAGAACAATGTTTATTGAAATGGAGGTAGAACATCAAAACAATTGCACGGACTATTCAGAATTGAGGTAGTCGTCCTGTGAATTCTGAATTAAAACAAAACAAAACAAAAAAGGTCACAACCATATCTCAATGACATGCTTTGGCACAGCCAAATACTTGAAACTGAACTTACGGTTATGTTCGTTAATATTATTGACTGTAACTATTGAGTCGTAGGGAGGTTATCACTTTAAATTAGTACATACCTGGTTTTCTTTTCTTCTATTACATTTTATCATCTTGTCTAGGACGTCGTGAAAGTAACCTTGTGTCGCGATGTCGTAGAGCTTACCAAGGTCTTTTTCGTTGACAGAGGATGACAAAAAGCGATGTGTTAAAGCACCTGAAGTTTAAGTAATAGATATAGGTTACTTCGTATGCAGCCGTAAAACGTGCATTTCTGAAGTGCTCGTTTTGAAGAGGTGCCAAGTAACATGAATTTACTGGCAACCTCAGGTGTCAACAGATACGACAGAACAAACCGCATGGACGCTTTTGGGTCGTCACTTGATAACCTAGTGACCATTGCCATCTGTAATCGTAACAAATTATTAAATTCATGTTAATGACTTACAAATCTGTCCCTGGTTTCTTTCTGCGACAAACCGGTATCCAGCATCTGCAGTTCCTCTTCAGATGACTCGACAGTCCGCAATCGAATTGATGCGGTTTTTCGCGTTCATGAAACTTAAATAGCAATTGGTTTACATTAACATTCAAGTCAATAATGGCGGACGGTATGTTGTTAATCGTTTTTGTCAAGTCAGTGATAGCTGACGACATGTTCAGCATCAGTGTATACAGCCATTCATTGCTGAAAAAGGTCACTACATGATGCAGGTTACTTACTGGTCCACTATAGCGCCACCAACATGCTTACATTCCGATGTGGAAGGTGATGTCTCTAATTGTGTCGAACTAATTCGTGAATATCTAAATAGTAATTAAACCTACTTGGCGATTGGCGATATGAATTTTTCGAAAACACGGAATTTGGGATATTGTACGCGGCTATTCCTAGCCTGCATCTCAGCCACATCCATGTCGACTGAATTGTAAAGAAAATCTTTACGCTTCATTACACCTCTAGGAAATGTTAGTAAGATTATTGTACAGACCTCTTTGGCTTCTCAGTGTTAAGTGGCAAAGTGTTTTCATCCGTTGAGGTGTTTTTCCGTTGAGATTCCAGTATCTGTAGGGCAACTAACAGATCTTTTGCCGACTGCAGAGAATCTATAGTGAATTATGCATTCTGTGTATGTAACCTACCTAATTCGTGAATCACTTTACATTTCATAAGTGACCAATTTTCATTCGGTTGGTCGCACTTCTGAAGGTGTATATCGACAAGCTCATTCGGAAAAGCGCAAAGTTCCTTTCCTACTATCCACTCCTTGGATGCTATCATCAGTTGTTTTTTGCTGAGGACGTCAACAATGACGTACTTCCTGTTAGCGGGCTGAAAATAACATAAGACGTAAGTAAATTATTTGTCGTCATTTATTCAACACTAGTGAAACAAAATGCATTTACAGCCAAGTATGCAGCAATGGGATAAGAACTAGATAATTCATA